TTCGCTGGAGGACTCAGCAGGGCTACTCAGGGATGTGGTGGGCCACCTTGATAGGCGAAGGGAAGGGGTGAGGGTGGCCCAAATGGGGACAGAGAATGGAGGAAGGGCCCTGCAGGCAGGAACGCTCTGTCCTCAGTGGGGACACTGGCCTGGGACAGGAACACCGACCTTGTAAGATGTCTGGTAGGGCTTGGGAAGGGGACAGTGAGGAAGAGCCATCCGATCTTCATGCCTACGTCATGACTGTGTGGAGCACCAAGCATTCCCAGGGCTCACAGTGGACACCACTAGGCGGAGGGTCTGTGGTCAGGGACTAAGAGACCAGGAGTGCTGTGTACCTGGATCCCACACCAGGCTTGCAAGCTGCATTCACCAGAAGGAATTGGAGAGCAGCCTGGCCCCAACCCCACCTGCAGGGGTGCTCGGGCACAGGCACAGGGGCCAGGGTGCTGGATGGCAGTGCTCAGGGCCAGAGAAACCTGAGGGCTGCCTGTCCTCCCAGGTGGGAAGGAGCAGAAGACAGGCTGAGCCACTTCAAAACCAGCTCCTTTCAACGCAGTGGTGACTGGGGCTGCTCTAAGTGGGTCAACCTTCATGTGTAAGTTGCTCTTAAATGCTTCAAACGTGGCGTTAAGCATCTGTATCCTGTTTTCATTAGCCTGTAAGATGTGGTGATGGGGACCTGCCCAGTTTTCTGAAGCAGCAAGTGTACCCAGAGGCTAATAAACAGCAGGTGCCTCTAATAAATAGGGTTTTACAACTCCATGTAAATGTGAGTGCTAATACATAGGTGAAGCAAAACGTGGAAGCTGAACCCTACAGTCAAGTTGCACAATTTCTTAGCTGTTTTGATCTGAGAACAATGGTGTTCCTGTGTGTCTGGTGTGTGTGCGAGTGATGTGTAATGTGTTTCTGTATGTACAGTGCATGGTAAGATGTGTATGTGCACGTCAGTCTGTGTATGTCTGTGTGTGTTTAGAGAGAAATCTCCACTAGAGTTGGTATTTTTATTTATTTATTTATTATCGGTACCGGGGAACGAACTCACAACCACGTGCTTGCAAGACAGGTGCTTATGCCGCTGAGCTAAATCCCCAGCCTGACTTGGTATTTTTAAATTTTGTTATTTTTTATATAGTTCCGGCTGGCCTTGAACTCACAATGTAGCCCAGAATGGCCTCAAACTCTTGATGATCCTCCTGCCTCTGCCTCCTGAGGGCTGGAATTATAGTCTTGTGCCACCACTCCAGGCCACAGCTAAATTTGTAGAAGAGAAAACCAACTATATAATTTCCAGAGGCTGGTGCAAAGCTACAGTGTGGTCCCAGATCTCAAGATGGCAAAATCAGAGCATCCAACCAAGTCTCATGCTCATGAGTCTAGTCTTTGTTTGAGAAAGTGAACTTCTTTGTCTCCCTTAACCATCCTGGCTGTCTTGGAAAACTCAGGTCCCCTTTGATCTCCCCAGACAGCTGCCCAGGGTGACCCTGGTCTCATCAGTGTGAAGTGGCCAGAGGCAGCCTGGGCAGGAGCTGCAGAGGGGCCTGCATATTGGCAAGGCTTGTCTTTCCTTTCCTGAGCCTCTTTTGTTCCAAGTGGGCCATAGAAGGGGACCTGCAATTCACAAAGTGTCACTCAGCAGGTCAGGTGTCCTTAGAAGGCCAGGTCACCTCCTGGTCCACCACTCCCTGCCCTGCTGAGTGGGGCCCTATGCCATCCCCAGGACTTCAAAGGTTACAGGCTCCCCTCTGAGCTATCACTGTATCCCCCAAAAGTGACAAGAGTGGATTAGGTGTCCTCACTGCCCATCAAGTCTTCTATTCTCGGGGTGCTGTGGAGCCCCGCCCTGGGCTTGTGCTAATTTGTTCAACAACCATGAAGGAGTAGAAACCTGCAGCGGAACCAGGGAGCTGAGGCAGAATGGGGCAGGAGGAGCCCGCAGCCTGGAAACCTCGGAGAGGGGGTGTGAGGGGTGGGGATGTCCTAACTGCTTCCTGTTTACTGTCCTGATTTACCTCCTCTCAGATCAAGTTCAGGGTGCTTGCTCCAGAGCACTCAGGAGAGCTAATGGGGGATAATGAGGGCGTCCCGCCCAGTGCCTATACCTGTCAATAATCAGCTGCCAAGGCTGAGGCTCTGGGAGGAGGCAATGGCTCCTGGCCTGCCTCACCTGGTTGAGCTCATCAGTGCACCATTTGCATGGCCATTCCAAGGTCTCTGAGTGTTTCTGTTGTGTTCCAGGTATGGCATCTTCCAAGGACAAAGGGACACGGCAAACATATCTTTACCATGTTCTTGATCCTAGCTAGAGACGAGCCCCTAAGCCCACCCAAAGGCTGGACCATAACTCCTTCCAGCACGTTATATATAGCCTTGAGACCCTGTGATAGGCCAGTATGAACAGGTGCGGCCTGCAGGGCCTCCCTGTGAACAGTCACCCAGCCCGAGTCACAGACTGTAGGGGAACATATGGGCCAGGTAGGTTCTAGCTCCCCAGTTTGGCAGGTCACTTAGGTCCAAGCAGCTGAGACTGCTATAAACTTCTTAATCACTAGCCAGGGTGGGGTACAGATCCAGCACAAGTCCCCCGCTAGTGATAAACTGACATTCCAGAAAGCAAAGACAAAAAAACTCTCATGATTTAGCATTTGCCAGTTTCTGTGGTATAGAGTCTTTTGAGTCAAATTTCAAGCCACCAATTGGCTTAGCAATTGGTTCAAAAACCAATATTTAATTATTAGGTCTTGCTTAACTGTGCTCATCAGAGGTCATCAACAGCACAGCCTCAGAATGTAGAGTCTGCATCCTCGAGCCTGGGGTTCCACTTCTCCATCTTCTTTGAAAAAGCCCTCATGTAGCCACTGGATGGCTTGGGACCTTGATGAGCTACGATGACCTACGATGTTCCTGTGCTTGGGTTCCTGGAGTGAGGCTGCCTCACAGGTTGTCATGATGCTCTTAAGGGAAAGAATATGAAATAACTTTACCAAAGAGAACTCCAAACTCAAGCAAATGAAGTTCTGGGGGACACCTAGCTCTAGTCTAAGGGGATGGGAAGCTCTGACCTAAATCAACACAGCACTTTCAGTCTGGAACGTTGGGCAGTTCTGGGCATCAGCTGACAAATCCCACTTTCCTTTCCCTCCCTATCCCCATGCCAGTTTCTTTACTCATTCCCACTTCTGGGGAGCAGGTGTGCAAGGTGACAGAGCCAGGGAGCCCGGAAGCACAGGTTCAGTTGCCGGGGCCGAGGCGCCAGGCCCCTCCAGAGTACCGCTCAAAGTCCACTTGTGGAAGGGTCTATCTGTCTTGTGGGTGGCTGGGCCATTTTTCTACATGCAGATTTTTCCTTGTGCCATCTTCTCGGAAACCTATTTGCTCTGGACACCTTCACCGTGACTCTATTTCCCCCTCCTCTGGATCCTGGAATGCCACTGAGGCCCCACCTTAGCCAGGCAGCTCTGACCCGACTGCTTCTCCGCTGGCTCATCGTGTCAGGTAGAAGGTGCCAGAGGGAGCAACAGGGCTGAGGACTTTTTAATGTGATTGGAGACCTCGAGCCCATCCAGAGGCAGGACTGGGGTCAGGTACGTCTGGAATTCAGCCAGGTACTGGGTGATGAATGGCATAAAGAGTGGAGAGGGACAAGCTGTTGGCCAGGAAAAACCACCCCAGAGCCACAGGAGTGTCACCAAGCCTTCCTCCTTTGCCCTCCTTAATCCCTCCTGTTTGGTGACAGAACACAGCCAGGCCTGGAGCCCATCGGGGATACCACTGGGTCCCACCGTAAGTGTCTATAAGGGCTGGAGGTAATCACAAACATCAGGTTTGTGACCCAAGGTGGATTTTTCCCAAGACAGATTGGTGAACAAATGATCAGAGCACATTGTGACCCAGGTCAACCAGAAGTGCGTACACATGGGACCGTAGAAGGAATCACAGAGGAGGTGACGTTTGAACCGTATCATAAAAGTGGGTCCCCCTGCCAGCGCCAATCTCCCAGAACAGGCCCAGCTCAGGCCTCCGGCCCCTGTGCACATAGAAGTGCTCTGTGGGCATTGGTGATACACGGCCTGTCCTCCAGCACTGTGGTAGAGGGCCACACAGCTTCCTCCAGCCAAGCCCCCCATCCTTCCCTGTCCTCAGTAGAAGCACCACCACAGCGAACCAAAAGAGAGTGAGATTTCTAAGTCACTGCTTCCATAAATGACCAGCCCAGGGTGGGCATGCAGGGGCTGCAGTGCCAAGGAAAGGGCTTTCAGGAAGGGTCCCCAGGAGACAGAGGGGCCAGGCAGGGAGCAGACCACTCCCGAGGCGTTGAGCACAGGGATTCCCAGAGCGGGAGCCAGATCCCGGACTCCCGCATTCACTCCCAGGAGTGCAGGGTCCACGCCAGCCCCCTTCCAGTCTAGAGAAGAGCCCGAGCCCGAGGCCTAGACTCAAAAAGGCTGACTCTGAATTAGGAGTGACCCTAAAGTTAAAATGATTGCAGTCTGTGTGTGTGTGTGTGTGTGCTCACAAATTATTCCTGTGAATTCCTGATTCTGGGGTCCTCTTGTATTTTCTCTAGTGAATCTCAAAGGCTGTCATACTTAGAATGTGAGGAGACACCTGCTCAGTTCCTGGCACATGCTGGAGCTCAGTAACTACCGGCCAAGTAGGAGGTCTCAGGTGGAAGGGGCTTCCCCAGCCTAAGCTGAGGGGCATCTGTTAGACGGGCCTCTGGCAGATGATAAACACCTGGCTGTCATAACATCTTCTGTGTCCTCATCTGGGTTAGCCTAGGACACAGGCCGGGTACCTGGGCAGCCCCTTCCCCCACTAAGACTGGTCATTCTTTCAACGTGGGCTGGCCTGTGTCAGGCCTGGGACAGATGCAGAAGGGTGAGGCACCCATCCTGCTAGTCAGGCAGGATGCTGGCAGGAGGGCGGGCAGAGGAGGGGGTGGAGCTTCCAGAACAAAGAGAATGAATAGCCCTGAGGGGACCAGAGTAGGCATCAAAAAGGCTCTGCAGAGTGGAGGGTCACACAGCCTCCTGCTGCTGGCCCAGCTGACTGCTCCGCCACGCTCTCTGGCTCCCTTCTGCTTGCCCGGCTGGGTAAGTAAACAGCACCCTGCTTCCAAAGGCCTTCTTCTCCAGCGTGATTGCGCCAACACTGCTCTGTGGTTTTCTCTACTTGGCGTGGGTTACTGCTGAGCTTCCAGAGGTGAGCAGAGCAATGGCTACAAGCAGACGCACCTTCGTCCCGGACTCTTTCGATGGGGCCAGTGTAGCCCCCAACCTTTGGCTGCACCGCTTCGAGGTCATCGATGACCTCAACCACTGGGACCACGCTACCAAGCTCAGGTTTCTCAAAGAGTCGCTCAAAGGAGATGCCCTGGAGGTCTACAACAGACTCAGTGTCCAGGACCAGGGAGACTACGGGGCTGTGAAGGAGGCCCTCCTGAGGGCCTTCGGAAAGCCAGGGGCTGCCTGCAGCCAGCCCAAAGAGATTGTGTTTGCCAACAGCATGGGTAAGGGCTACTACCTCAAAGGGAAGATTGGCAAAGTGCCCGTGAGGTTCCTGGTGGACTCCGGGGCCCAGGTCTCTGTGGTCCACCCGAAATTGTGGGAGGAGGTCACTGATGGCGATCTGGATACCCTGCAGCCCTTTGAGAACGTGGTGAAAGTGGCCAATGGAGCCGAAATGAAGATCCTGGGTGTCTGGAAGACAGTCATGTCCCTGGGCAAACTGAAGCTGAAGGCTGAGTTCCTGGTGGCCAACGCAAGTGCAGAAGAAGCCATCATCGGCACCGACGTGCTGCAGGACCACAACGCTGTCCTGGACTTCGAGCACCGCACGTGCACCTTGAAAGGAAAGAAGTTCCGCCTCCTGCCGGTGGGGGGTTCCCTGGAAGAGGAGTTTGACCTGGAGCTCATCGAGGAAGAGTCTACACTGGATCGGCAACAGTCGTCCTATTAAGAAGCCCGCCCCCCTCTCTGCCCCAAATGGTTGGGAACCCTACAAACGTGAGGGTGCATAGTCTCAGGGAGATTGCTGAGTTTGGCCCACCTGTAAATCCAACTCTTGCTTGCCGCCCGCCTCCCTCCACAGGGGCCTTGGTCTGCCCCTGGTGGGGGAGGCTTCGTGGAAACAGGGAGAGAGCAGGCTGGCATGCTTGGAGAGGAAGGCCCCGTGGCCATCAAGCCAGTGCTGGTGGCACCAACTTGACATTTGGAAGAAGCTTCCAGGAGGCTAGGAATATCTGTCTGTGAGAGAGGATTGGGGGACCTTTGCCGATCCACTGAGGTGTGGCTGTGTCACCTTCTGGTCCAGCCGGGCTGGGTCCCGGCTGCATCCTCGCCAGCCAGGTCCTGCTGTCCTGCGGGGTGGCAGCTGCTCTTAGATGCCCCTGGCCTGTCTTCCCACTTGTGTAATGATATGTTTCTTTCTGTCATTTGCTTTGAAACCCAGCCTTGTGCCAATAATTCAATTACTGTAAAACCAATAAATAACAGTTCATGGAAAAACCATGTAATATGCTGATTGGGGTGAATGGAATGCATGTGACAGGGTGGAGACAACGGAGAGTGAACCTCAATGCCAAGGAAGGCTCGAGCTGTTTACTGGGTTGATGTATACAGTGACTACGTGTTTTAGATTTTTTTAAAAACAGCCTCAGCTTAAAATATTTTGACTCATTCCCTTTATAATTCCTCTCTTCATTTCTAATCCAGTTACAATTCCTCTTAATTATTTCAAGCTATAATAGTTCAGCATCCAAACTGCCTCTGTTACCAAAAGTGGTCCTAAGGCTATGAGTGAGATTGGGGATGGAGGAATTTGGGTAACGTCAAGGGATGGAAATGTGTGTGGCTGGGAAAGAGGTTCTTACAGCTGTCCCAGAGCCAGAACTTGGAGGGAGAAAACAAGGCCAGGAGACAAGTGTTGACTCGCGTGGGGCAGCCCAAGGAGTGCTGGGGGACAGAGGGGTGACAGTGAGGAGCTGGGGGGGGGGGCTCTCGCTACTGGAGAGCAGCTGCTTCCTGGGGGGCGCTTGGAATGGGCCCCCAAACTAGAGAGGCTGGATGAGGGGGAGGACGTGCTGGATCCAGGAATGTTCCCCACGTTAGGGGCCCACCGCATACTCGCTCCCTGGTCCTGCCTCTTCCTCTGAACTCAGCAAGGCTGAGGACCTGGAAAGTGCTCAAGCAGGGGGGGAAGCTGTGTGAACAGAGCGATGCAGAGAGGAGCACACTGGCTCCAGACCTTGGGCAGCCCCTCCAAGGGCACGGGGTCGCTGACCCTCAGAAGCCTGGCTCCTCACTCTGAGCTGACCTTGGGCCCAGGAAGACAGGTGAGAGGCTGGAGACCCCGACATGCGGCCAGGAGACAGGTGAGGAGATTTGAGGCCACCTGATGGGAAGTGGGAAGGGCCAGTTTCTCTTCTCGGGGCAGAACAGGGCTCTCTTCTATTCAACAGTCCCTCCCTGGCAGAAACAGGCAGCTTGGACAGCAGGAGGGAGGCGAAGGTGAGCCTCATCCCTGAGGAGCCCCTGGAGGTCTAAGGTTGCTTGAGTCAGAAACGCTGCCCACCTGGCCCCCTTCTCCCTCAGATCCCAGAGACCATTCTCCTGCGACCCAGGGCAGGAAGCCCCGTCCCTGGGCAGCCAAGTCCCTTCACTGGAATGAGCTCATCAACCCTGCAGTGCGTGGGGTGAAATGCTGCCGTGGGGTCAGAAGGAGATTTTTGGCCACAAAGAGGGGCCTGGAGAACAGAGTCTCCTTGTGCCCCCCAAGTCCTGCATGTCCCTTCCCAAACTCATTTTCTAGCCTCTCCTTCTGCTGGGCCTCACAAATACTTTTCTGCTCTCCTGGGCCACACCCTCTCTTGAAGGTGCATCCCAGGTGGCACCTCCCTCTGACCTATTTTCCTCTAGATCTTTTGGATCTCAAAGGCATGCTGGGCTCAAGGAGGGCGGGTGAAGAGTGGGCGGATGGGGAGTGGAGGGGACAGGGAAATGGAGTGGCTGTGCTAAAATCCCAAGGCTACACCCAAGCCTCCCCCCAGCAGGGGGCCAAGCCCTGTCCTGGGTAACTCCATCGGGTGTCTGGGTAGAAGACATTCCTTTGCCCAGCTTCTGAGTGAGGAAGAACTGTGGGCCACCAGGCTCTCAGCCAGCTACCTCTCCTAGAGTAACAGGGGAACCTGGGTGGGCACAGCCAGAGAAGGATCTGTGAAGTCTGTGGCATGGCGACACTTGGTACCTTTGACTTGGACACACAGGGCAGGGGCCCTGTGGGTGTGAGTGATTACAAGTGCAAATGTGTGCTCAGTTCTGAGCTACTGCTCTCCTGGGAGCTGAGGGTTGAACTGAGAGCCCAGAAGAGAAGCCTGGAGAAGGTTTCTTCCACACCACAGAGAGCCTGCTGCCTGGGGGAGGGCGCACACTGGATTGGAGGTGGGCGGGCGACTGTAAGGTGGAGGGGCAGAAAGCTTGGGGAGTAAAGCAGCTCCGAAGAAGCTGTCCTAGAAGCCAAGGCAGTATCCAGAGATGGGATCTGGATTTGAGAAAGTGAAAAGAAGCACACAAGGTAAAGGTAAAGGCTTGATCTAGGACCACATAGGAAGATCAATTACAAGTCACTCCTCAGTGGCCCCAACATGCCGCCAGGTTCGGGAATTCCTAGACTGAGCTGAAGCGGAGACTACGGACTGGCTACCCACAGTGACCCAGGGAGAGCATTCAGGGAGACTCAGCATTTCCTGAGAGCTCGATAGAAATGCAGAATCTCAGGCCGACTCTGTACTGAGCGAGGTCCCTGGACGATTCTCCTGTGATCCCAAGTTTGGAAAGCCCTGGCCTGCAGTGTGTCGTGCCGTGGCTACTCCTGACCCCACAAGACACACTCCTTTCCTAATGATGACCATCACACACTGACCACTCCTCCCGTTTTTATCCAGCAAATATTATTTTATTTTTATATTTCTGTTTTGAAATAATTTCTGACGTATAGAAAAGTTGCAAGAATAGGACAAGAAATTTGTTTTACCCAGTTTCCCCAAATATTAATACTTGATCAAGGAACTTTACCATTTCTCATGCCCATTCTTTCTCTATCCGCATGCAGGTGAACCATTTGAAAATTGTACACTTGGGGCTGGGGATTTAGCTCAGCGGCATAAGCGCCTGCCTTGCAAGCAGGCAGTCTTGAGTTCGATCCCTGGTACCGATAAAAAGGAAAAAGACAAAAAAAAAAAAAAGAAAGAAAGAAAGAAAGAAAATTGTACATTTACCTGTCACTACTTCATGTTTATTTCCAAAAGACCCCGACATTCTCTTATACAACTGCCATACAATGATCAAAATCAGAAAGTCAACACTGAAGTTATACTGCTGTTATTTAACCTCCAGACCTTAATAAAATGTTTTCTCAATTATTCCAATAATCTATATAGCCAAACAAAAGTAGCATTTTCTAATCTCAGATCAAATTCAGCTACACATTGCATTAAGTTGTCAAGTCTCTCTGGTCTCCCCTCACCAGAACAATTCTCAACCTTTGTTTTCATGGCTTTGACCTATTGTTTATTTCATAGAATATCCCTCAGTTTAGGTGAACCTGATGTCATCTTATGATTATATATGGGTTCTGTATTTTGAGCAAAAAAAAAAAAAAACCCCAAAACATTCAGAAGAAATATATATCCATGGACCAACCAGTTGGCTGGTTCCATGGCTGGTGATGTGTGCTGTGGTCACTCTGTCAGAGCACTTTCTGTTGGGTTTCTTATTATACTGTAACTATGTTTCTTTATATAATGGGTATCTTGCAGGGAGACAATCTGAGACTAGCAATATACTATTCCTCGGGACTGGGGATTTAGCTCAGCGGCATAAGCACTTGCCTTGCAAGTGCACGGTTGTGAGTTCGATCCCTGGTACCAATAAAAAAAAATACTGTTTCTCATCAGACCATCCCTCACGGGATACAGCATGTATTTGCGATCCTTTCCTGAACCAATTAGAACTGTGATGGTACCAAAGAGTGCTTTTCTGACCTTCGATGGCCATGGGCTGGCACTCGATTCTCTAGGGAAGAGTTTTCTTATTTACTTATTTATCGACATCACTGTGAACTCATAAGAACTTGTTTTACTCCACGAAATTATATTCAGTTACTCTCATTATTTTGGATGCTCAGATTGTTTTAGATTGGGCATGGGAGCCTCTTTGAACTGGCTCCAGTCCTCTTGAGACAGGTCCTCATCCTAATCTGACCTCTGCCTTATTTTGTGACACGACAAGATGACCCAGGTTCATTTTGTTCCTGCACTTGGGCTGGGCTCAGCCATTTCTGCAAAGAGCGCTGCTTCCTGCCAGCGGATGTCCAGAGACTGAGAGTGGTGTTGTATTTGCTCACTGCTGCTGGGGTGACATTACTCCCAGGTCCTCTCAGTGGTAGAGCCAAGGAAAAAGCACCCAACTACATCTTGATGTAGTTCTATATCTTTCACGTTCTATAATATATCTCAAATATGGATTCATGCTGATCCCTTCAAATCCAGCCTCATACCCTAAGTCTTATTCTTTTTTTTTTTTTTTTAATCAGTACCAGGGACCGAACTCACGACTGCCTGCTTGCAAAGCAGGCACTTATGCCGCTGAGCTAAATCCCCAGTCCCTCCTAAGTCTTATTCTAACCGGCCCCTTTCCATATTCGCAGCTTCTTTCTCCAGCAATGAGAAACCTGCTCTGGGTTACTTATTTGTTCAGTCTTAGAACACTCAAAAAGTAGTTTCGGAATTGCTCACACATCCGCCTGTGAAAAACAAACCTAGAAGCAACCAGTTGTTCGTGTCACCTATTCAGCGCCAAGCGTGGGTGCTCTTTGGCAGAAAAGGAGAAAGAGAACGATAAAATCAGAACTCGCTCACCGGAAGGAGAGTGTACGCCTCCCTGGCATGCAGAGTCTGCCCTGAGGACCAGGCTGAAGGAACCGCATGATCTAATTGCATGGAGAACAGCTGGAGGCAGAGACCAAAGGCCACTCATGCTGCCCTTGTGACGCCCTAAGGGAGGAGCCCGCCTCCATTCCCCAAACAGGTGACCTGGCCTGCCCACTGGGTCCTCAGCCACTAAAGACACACTGAGACAGCTGCCCCGGCTGATGGCACCCACGTTGCAGTCCCGTCAGCCTTTGCTTCTGTCTTGAATCTGGCTGGGCTGCAAGGAGACCAAACTCTGGTCAGGCCTCTAGGACTGTCTGTCCTTCTTGCCTGTTATAGTTCCAAATGAGGGTTACTAAATTGGTTTTCAAGGTAGTTTTTTATTTTTTTCCTGTGACACCAGGGACTGAACCCAGGACCTTCACACTGAACTACATTCCAACCTTTTGCCTTTTTTAAAAAATGGGGTCTTGTTAAGCCACTAAGATGCCCAGGCTGGGCTTGACTTTGTGATCCTTCTGCCTCAGCCTCCCACAGTGTTTGGATTACAACTGTGTACCACCACAGTTCTCTGGTTTTTAAGTTTTGACTGCTCAGATTTTGTGGGCTGGTACTCCCAAGCGTGGTGAGCTGTGTAACTCTCTGAGCCTAGGCTACGGCGAATTCTCCAAGGCATATGTAGCCTGTAGACTCGGCCCTGTCTCTTGGGGGTCCTGTCAGACCTCCCCCTGCACTAGGAAAGTTGTGCAGTGTGCCTGTCTCTCGGGAGTCACAGTGAGGAGGAGGAGGAGGCAGTAAGCCTCAGAGTGGCCAGGAATGGCTCCTTAGAGGAGATCTGGAAACTGGGTCTTAAAAGGCAACTGGGGCGGGGGTGTTTCTAGGAAGATGTAGGATCAAGGGGAGAAAGGCAAATAAGGGGGTAGCAGGGCAGGGGTGGCCAGGCTCGTGCTGGTGAACAGGGCTGGTGTCAAGTATCCCGGATGATCCAGGAGGCCTGGGAGGAGGATGCAGGCTTCTTACTCATAAAATGCACTCAATTTTAAAAGTGTGTTATACAATCAATATTTGTGGAGGAAAGAGAAGCAGACCCAGACGCTGAATGCATAGCAGTGGTCTACACTGATCTAAGAAGCAGCCAGCCTGGTTGTGGGGATGGGGTGGGGCTTGAGTCCTGTGTGCACCCATGGGTGTAGACAGGTCGGGAAGTGTCTGTGTCTTATGGATAATGCTAGCCCTAAAATGCCAGGTTTTTGCCTGAGATGAAGAATCAGAAGAGAAACTAGAGGGTAGAAGCACACATTGTTACTGTTAATTCTAATCTGTCTCACCCTGCATGTGTTCGACAGCCCATGGTGGGGGACAGCAGCAGACAGACCTGGCAGGCGGACGGCACTGAGTCCAGAGGGAGCATCAGGGAGGAGCCCATGGCCATGAGAAAGAGAGAGGCAGCCCTGGCCGTGCCTGGAGACACTCGGTGATGACTTTGCTGCTGGGAGTTGCTGTTGGTGCCTGGTAAAGGGCCAAAGGGCCAGCGCTGCTGACTCTCCTGCCATGCACAGAACAGTGAGTTATCCCGCCCTGAGTCACGGCTTGCTGATTTGGCAGTTTCTTTCTAATTCTCATAAAACACCTCTACTTCTAGAGTTTTACCCCCACTTAACAGATGAGGAAGTTGAACTGGACCAGGTTACTTTGCCTAACGTTACTCGAATGTAAGTGGCTGGACTGATGCAATTTATGCCTGCCCGGCTTTGGAACATTCTATTTAGTCAGCTGGAGTGCTTTGGGCTAAGAAAAATTTGACTGAAATGAATTTAGATTGTTTTCATCTATTATAAACAGAGCCAGTCATCGCGGAGTGGCTGACAATGAATTTGAAAATCTGAAGCTCCCAACGAATAGGTCTCGGCGAGCACACAGTGAGATATTTGCAAATCTCAAAAGCGTCAGAAGTGACTGCAGTCGGAAACGTTCATTTTTAATCAGCTTATGAAAACTAATTCTCAAAAAATCACCCCAAAAGTATAGGAGACATAATTGACTGAAAATAAACTAGGAGGAAAAACTCCCCTAAAATCTCACTGAAATTTCAAATTCTTTTCTTTTTTACTTATCACTGCTTTGTTAATTCTTTCATTGTTTAAATTTTTTTGTTTTGTTTTGCTTTTTTAGTAACAAAATCGGTTAATGCATGCTTAACATAGGAAAGCCAGAAAGTTAAGCAATCCACACACACCTTTGTAAAGAAACATCATAGAAGATCTTGAAGCTCACCCTCCAGAGGTCCTGAGCACGATGTATTTTTGCAAACATTTCACCACAGACACTCAGATGGGTGTATTTTTCTTTTTTCTCTTTCGCTGTCTTGTTTTTATCTTTTCTTTGTTCCTCTTTAACAAAAGTAGAATTGCACGGTACTTTCTATTTTTATAAAGTTCCATACTTCAACAAATCCCTTATTTTTGAATGTTTGATCTTTTCCAACATTTTACTATAAAGAAACACACAAAAACTTCACAATATAGTAATGAATTAAAGGCTTGTACTCAACCACACACAATAGATGGCTCCCACAAACACAAGACTGAGTGAAAGAAGCCAGACACAATACATATACACTATGATTCCATTTACATAACTTTCTAAAACAAATATGCACAAGGAAACCACAGTGCATGGAGATGAGTGCTCAGGAGAGAAAATTATAAAGGCCAGAAGGATGCGGTCACACCCGTCTCTGGGCAGGCAGTGTCCTTCAGTGTCTCTGAGGGCACCGTGTTGGGAAGGCCACTTGGGGGTTTCTGGGAGCCCTCTGTGTCCTGGATCTTGGCTGGGGAATATTTTTTGGGTGTTTATAATAATACACTAAATAGTGCTTTTATGTTTTATCCACCTTTACGTGTGTATGTGACATTTCGTGACAATCTTTTTGAGCAGAATTAGAACAGTTGACCAGAAAACTAACTAGAAAGCAGAGGGTAAAACTAAATATTCTAAAATTTAAGCAAAATATTTAAAAAGGCAAGAAAGAATGCAGTCCATCCCTAGGCTGCATTAAAATTCCAATTTTTAAAATTTTATTTTAAAGAGAAAAACAATAAAAACAATGAGAATTTCAAAACAAGATAATAGATTAACAATGGCTAATATATTGCACATTATTATATTGAAAGTAGTTGCTCAAATTACAAGAACAAGCATGCAAAATTGATCAAACAATATAAGCACAGACCACTCTTTTCAGTGAACTAATAGCAATTAGTAGTATAATCATCTTAGCCATCTTGTGTATATGTATATTTTTCTTTTCCCTGCCTTCTTTGCTCCTTCCTCCCATCCCAGTTGTTCTTTCCTTTTGAGCAGTTTCTTCCCCTTTCACAATATCTATGCACATTTTGAGTCCTATTTACTCTCTCAGGTTTTTACACTGAGGAGACAATACAGTGTTTACACATGTGAGTCTGATTTATTTCACTTATGAGTATGGTCTCAAGTTGCATTCACTTACCTATAAAAACCTCCAGTTTATCATTCTAAGCTGAGTAGTAAGAAATTCATTGTATAAAAATACCACGTCTTTTTAACATTCCTTGGTTGATGGGCATTTGGGTTATTTCAAGACTTAGCTGTTATAAACTGTGCACATATATTGCTATGGTGTGATGTTTTTAATTCTTCTGGGAAGATACTCAGAAGGGGAATACCTGGGTTGAATGGAACCTCTAATCCTAGTTTTTTGAGGAATCTCCACACTGATTTCCACAGTGGTTGCACCAGTCTGCACTCCCAGCAACAGTGGAGAAGGGTTCCTTTTCCCCACAACCCCTCCAGCATTTGCTATTGGTTGATTTCTTGATGACAGCCATTCTTTCCAGGGTGAGATGAGATCTCAGGGTTGTTTTAATTTGCATTTCTTGAATGACCAGTGACACTGAACATTTTTTCATATATTTATTTCCCCTTGTATTTCTTCATCCAAGATGTGTGCCTTCACCTGAAATGCCCATTTTTGGGTTGGGTCTTTGACTATGGGGGACCTGACTCTTTTATGTAAAATTCCAATTTTTAAAAAATATGGCGGAGTACTTTTTAGGCCAAATTGTCCTTCAGGCTGACTTGTTTCCTCTCCAAGTTGTTCTCAACCAAATCGTTTTCCTTCAAATTGCTTTCTTTCTTAGCAAGTCATCTGAATTTCTCTAGAGCGCAGGCATTTTCTGAGGCCCCCACGGTACACACAACTCTGGCAGTAACAAAGTTCTTCACTTTAATGGAAACCTCACTGTGCTCCCTCATCAGTATTTAGGGCCCCTTACTGTGGAGAGTACGTCCTGCCCTGTGCTGGGCTCTGGCTCTGTTCAAGGGCATCGTGTTCCTGGGTCATTCGGTCTTCCCTGGGCCCCCAAGGTGCCAGGTACTGGCATGGGCACTGGGACCTGTTAGTCTGTGCTCTGACAGAGCTCCATTTGAATATCAAACAGATAAAAGAAAGGAGAAAGTGTTGTGTCGTGATGAGAGAAAAGGAGATGAGCCACAGTGAGGGACACAGTGACTAGCAAGTGACACAGACGTGACTTTACAAAGCTAGAGAGGAGGCTGTTGGATAATGTATGCTGAGACCTAAATGAGCCAAGGGCACAGCTGAGGTGCAGGGAGCACATTTTAGGCGGAGGGAGCAGAAGTGCAAAGGCCCTGCATCTGGGCAGTCCAGGAGGGTGGCAGGGAATAGGGGTGGGGCCAGGAGGGTGGCCAGGACCAGATTGGGGGGCCTCGCCCCCAAGGAGCCTCGGATGTTCCCAGCAGATGGCATGGACAGGGGGGGTCTGTGGTAAGGAGGGATCTGACACCTGATTTAAAAGGATTGTGGGCTACAGGCAGAGCCCAGTGAGAGAGGGGAGAGCCAGTTTTGGGGCTAGAGGAGCCAGCTCAGAGAATCTGGCGGGTCCAGCTGGCTTTGAGCAGCAGCCTAGTGGCCCGGCCCAGGGAAGCCGTCCCTCAGGCCAGTCTGTTGCTCAGGCCTCTTCCTAAGGCAATGGAGCTGCACGCTACAGTGTCACTTCTCTCTGGACTCTGGATCCTGAGCTGACAGCTAAGCCCTCTCCTCTTGGTCCTGAGCCTACCAGACGTAAGTAGCTCTTCCCTCTAAGAACCAGAGCCTCCCTGCTCTCTCTTGATGTGACTCTTGTCCAAGACCGTCCCCGTCTTTGGCTTGTCAAGAACTTCTGGAATCCTGATTCTGCCAGGCCTTCAAGGTGCAACCTGGCTGCCTCAGTTCTGGGAATGCAAAGGCCGTGCCCTCCGTACCCAGCATGTACCAGGTCCAAATGATCACTTTGGTGCTGAGCGGGACGGGGCAGAGGACAGCGTGCCCTCGGGATTCGGACGCCTTCCTACCGGTCCTGCATCCACAAGTGTACGATTAGCAAAATACTGACATCTGCAAATGATTCGCTTTTTAAAAACACCTAACAAAGCAGATTCAAGGGGAGCCTTGCAAAGACATGATTCCCGTTTACTTGCGTTTCAGGGAACTTTCTTCATCTGGGGAGAAAGGGTGTTCCTTCCTGTTCCGACAGGTGACTCAGACCCAAGTCAACTTGGCCACTGCCTCTGGCCTCTGTGGAAACCCCCAGAGGAGCCCCGTTCGTCCAGGTGAGTTGGGATTATCTGCAGCCTTGAGGCAGCTCCTTTCCGGTCCTCGGCAAGTTTATTTCCAGTACTGATACAGCCCCACGCTCGCTGCCCCTCTCTGTGCTCTTGTTATAAATAAACACGTCTCATTTAGTCGGCTCACTTCCCTCCGCTTGTAGAAGAAAATACTGAGACATTTTTTCTTCTTCCTCTTCCTCTTCTTCTTCCTCTTTTTCTTCTTCTTCTCTCTCTGTCTCTCTCTCTATCTGTCTGTCTCTCTCTCTCTCTCTCTCTCTCTCTCTCTCTCTTGCCTTCTTTTTGAGACAGGGTCTTACTATATAGTTCAGGCTGGCCTTGAACTCATGGCGGTCCTCCTGCCTCTACATCCAGGGTGCTGGGATTACAGGTGTGTGCCATCACTCCCAGCCATTTTTTTTTCTTTTATATATATAGTGATCCTCCCTGTTTTGAGTCAGGTGGAGCTTAGATGCTTCCCATTCCCTAAATTACATATATTAAAGTAGAAAAAAGTCTAAATATAAATTATGATCAGAGGAAATGCTAGGGGAAAATTAGGATACAAAAATTTAAATCGAGGGCTGAGGATATAGCTCAGCGGCATAAACCCCTGCCTGGAAAATGCAAGGTCCTGAGTTTGATTCCCAGTACAAAAAAAAAATTAAATCACAGGATCTCACAGAATTACTAAAGGTGAGGTAGGAACTTGACTATGAGCTTCCTGCCAGCCAATGCAAAAAAAGAAAGATGATCCATTTTGTGAGTCACGTTTCTCTGAAGTAAACACACATTTTCCTCAGAAGGAAGCAATGGGTTCCAAAAAAAATTATTTTGCCCAGCATTAAAAGATCTTGATGTGGGGAAGAGAAAGTACCTTTTCCTTTCTCTTGCAGGTACTTCCTGATCATATGCTCTCACAGATGCTTCTCTGGACTCTGTGCTATTCTGTGCCTTTTGCTGGTCTGTACTTCACTGTGGCTTCTCGGATCAAAGCTGCTATTTGGGAATGTGCAGTTGTCACCACCCCTGCGGTTGTGCCACGTTCACACTTGAAATGTGAAGTCAACGCTGTCTGCCTGGAGCCCAGCTGCCCTGCTCTGGACTTGCTGCTGAAAGATGTCTGAGCCCTGGAACACAAGGCATCTCCTGCTGTCTTGTGATATGCTACAAACAAAATACGGGCACCCTCGAGGGTCTCGGTGGCCTCTCTCCCCGCCTCTGCCACAGCTATGCTTCCTGTGGACTGGCGGGGTTCGGGTTCGCTGGCTCTCTGAGCAGCACCTAGCTTAGGCACCGCTGGACGACGCCCCCTCCCCCACCGTCTGTGTCTGAGTTCTGTCCCCAAATCACCCTCTTTGCCCCTCGGTGCCGTGTAGCCACTTCCTGCGCACTATTTGTTGCTTAAATGGCACAGTCAGAATAACACTTTAAACAGCTTCTCCTGCTCTAAAGTAGTTTTCCTTTGCAGGCCTATTTCTTCTCTGAGTGTTGGAGTTTTGTACTCTGAAAATGCAGGTTAGGTGCCTGACAATGCTCGGAGTCCCTTCCTTGGCTAGGAAAAGAATCGGAATCGCTTGCCTCTGCGAGTCCTGAGCATCAGGCACCAGGCTAAACTCTGTGTGTCCTTGATCATCTTATGTAACCCCCACCCCCACCCCGCAGCCTGGGGAGCAAGCTGTGTTATTACCCTCGCTGTACAGATTGGGGATATTGGCTCCAGGTCACCTAGACTGTGAGGGGCTAGAAATCACACACTTGTCCTCCACCAGGACCAGCCCCTGGGGCAGCTAACAGTGTGGCCCACCATGTTCTGCTCCCCAAGGCCAGCCCCGTGGTCAGAATCACTCCAGGGCTTCATGGTAACAGCAACAGGGTGAGGCCAGGTGGTTCGAACTTCTGCTTTAATGGAGCGGGCCCATCTCCACTGCCCCTGGGCAGGGTTGGGATAGTCCCAGGTTTTATCGTGCAACCCTGCCTGCCATCTGAGTGGCCAGCAGGATTGTTGGGTCCAGGGCCTTTTCTCCTTGCCCTCATCTCTTAATCCCTCTTGGTGACTTCTGTCCCAGACCTGTGGGTTTCCTGGAAGACTGACACTCCCTGGCCACTCTCTGGCTTGGCTGTCATCCTCAGTGGGGCCCAAGGAGGGAGACCAGGTGCTCCTCCAAGGCACCTTCCCCTCCTCCAGGGCCTCCCTGGGTCACTCCAGCTCCAGTGGCACTGGCCAGCCCTTGTGCATACCCTGTATGCCCAGCTTTCCCCACTGTCGCTCATCTAGGCCATGGTGACTTAGTAACTGGGACTCCGTGACCTAAAAGTAAGCACTGGACACAAATGTGACATCACAGGGTCCACAACCCAGTGGGTGCCGTGGCGGGGGATTTCCTCTTCCCAGAGCACAGGGCACCGAGTTAGCAATGACAGCCTGTGAGGTCCCAGTTTTTGTGCTCCACTCACCAAAACCTAAGCCACCCCGCAGGCAACGGGAAGCCTCATTCAAAGGTTTAAAAAGGAGAGGATGCAATGTATGGGAAAGTGATGACAACTGGACACAGCTCCTGCAAAAACGGAGGCCAGGGAGGGGTGACCAGGTCCCCAGAGCCACTCTCACTCCGCGTGGACTGCAGGTGAAGCGTCTCACCTGCCCTCGGCTTCCCGCCTGTACAGGGGGTGCCTGCTGGCACTCGCTCTCAGGGTTGAGTGTGAAGACTCCCTGGAGCCCTGGCAGAGCCCCAGCCTTGCTAAGCCCTGGGTGAATGCATGCTGACCACGGCTGCGACAGGGACCCACACGGCACAACAAAGATAATTTTTCGTCGGGCTACTGTGAACAGACAACTTCAGGAAACCTTGGAAGTAAGATTTGTCATTTTGTGGTGGAGGCTATCTTTATGTGAAAGCTGCCTTAATAATTATCTACAGTTCAGCACTTCCTCTCCTCGCCGCAGTAAACAAAGGATTCTGCTGCTTTGCTGGACATCGCTTTCGCTGGTCCATTTTAGAGCTCTCTACAGCTCTCAGAAGTGCATATCCAACTCATTGTTGTCCATACTGTTAAGAGAAAACAGATGACTCAGACCACTTTTCCAAAGTAGAAATACCAGAACATTCCTTTTCCGTAGAATCCTCTGGCAGTGTAACATTATAGTTAACTTAGAGGGCACCATAAAAACCTTTAAGCAATGGTTTGTGTCTCTGGGTAAGAAACAGAGGGCCAAGCTGGCCATGGTGATGCCTGACTGTGATCCTAGCTGTATGGAAGGCTGAGGCAGGAGGATGGCAAGTTGGAACCCATCTTGGGCAATTTAGTGATTTAGTGAGGCTCTATCCCAAAATCTAAAGAAAGTCAAAGGCCCTGAGTTCAATCCCAGTATTGCCAAGGAAAAAAAGCAGAAAGACACCATTCCCTTCTCTTGGACCCTGGACACGTGCTTCCCTGGGGGACTAGGAGCACAGCCAGGAGGATGGTAGTGCACGCCCTCACCATGCCAGGACAGGGAGCTGAGTGTCAAAGTCAGGCTCAGGGGAGAGGGAACGCACAAGGAGGCTCAGGTTTGGTGTGTTTTGTTCCTTGATGTGTCTTTGGCTGTGCGACACAGCTTGATCCAGAGTAGGTGCTCATACTGTGTCTGATAAGTGAGTTAGCACAGGTGTCAGCAGGTTTAAGAACTGACCTGGGTGGGGCCTCTCTGCCCAGCGTGCGGTGTGGATACTGCTCCACAAAGCCCAGCCTCCAGGCTGCAGCCACCCTGTCCCCTGGGGCTGGCCCTCTCCAGTAAACACCCTCTGTGTCCCCCCAGGGCCCAGCTCCAATGCCACCCCAACACCCTCCATTGCTCAGGGTGCTTTCCCGTACCACTGTATTCCATCTAGCTCAGCGCATTCAACTGAGCAGGTATCTTTACCTCCAGACCATCAGCACTCAAAAGATAGACACGTCTTGGTTGAAGACATATTGAAACACTGAAAAGACCAACATTTCTTTAATAATGAAATAATTTATTATTTGTTAACAGTTGAACAATACATAAGTTTACATATACACAGCAAAGATTCTCTAAAACATGTAATAGTTTCTAAAAATGCATGTGCTAATTGTAGTAAAAAGCACCATTCTCTATGGTCTTGACACAGGATTTACATTGGCGTCATATTTACATAAAGAAATAAACATCTGGAAACAATTTCCCATTCTTTCATCTGCTGCTCCCCTGTTTAGGCTGTGTTTACCTTTAGGAAAATCCCCCCACCCCCCGGTTGATGGTTAACAGCAATATTCCAAGAGCACCAATTCTAGAGGGGAAAGGCAAGTTTGGTTCTCAGGTAAAAGCGAAAATGAAGAATGTTCCTTTTAATCTGCCCCCCCACAGATGAAGACATTGAAATTAAACATCTGCATAAATTTTAGAATTGGGTGCCCACTAATTCTCATTTTATGATTCTGAGAGAAGACAGACTCAATTTTTAGCTATCCAATAGCTGAATCTAGCAGTGGCAATTATTTCTTCTTCCCCCAAAATATAAGTTAATTATCCATGTAATAAATATTGATGACAAAAATCATGATAAGTCACATATTGCACCCACCCCAACCCAGTATCTTTAAAAACAAAACTTCCTACAGTCTACAGAGATCTGACCACGTAAAATGAGAAAAACCACTTCATCTGAAAGAGTCTTTGGGTTGTCTTCTCCCAGGAAGGATTTTTGAGTCAGGAGTAGCCAGCTACCACCACATGCTGCATCAAAGAGACAGAAAACTAACGGATTGACATGCAGGAAATTGCCTTTCGGCTTTTCACTACCTGGCGTTCAACACAGAGGGCAGGACAGGAGGGGAGACAAAGAAACTTGAGGGACACCAGTAAAGAAGAAACAGAAAAAGACCAAGATTTGGGGGAATAAATAGTTACAAAGCACAATGAAAGTGATATTCTTGCCAATACAGCATGGTACAAAAGCCTAACTAGTAATGTGCATATATCTGTGCTTTTTCAAAAATAAGTTCTCTCTTTACAGGATGGGGAAGAAGGCAAGAGAAAAAAGTCCAGAAAATCCATGATCAAGCCCCAAGATATTGCTAAAGGTTACTTCGAACATCTTATCTATCTAGTTTACCTTTTTTTTTTTTTGTTCCCCAGACCCCAGGATTCTCTCTTGGCCACTTCAAAGACAGGGGAAAGAGGCCCACAGGAAACCCAGGGGGCCTTTGTTTCTTTTGAAGAAATTAGAGGTTAAAGGAAAATGCCCACTTTAAAACCAAAACAACAAACACTACAGTGGCCCATTGTAGGATCAGGGCGGACTTAATGCCCAATTCTGAATCCACACTGGAATCATTTTCATCTTGGGTTGACATGGAGAATCTAGGTTCTGCTCAAAAATGTGATGCTTTTTAAGTCACTAAACTAGCGTTAGGTCTGTGAGTAGAGAAAGGAGCCAGCAGTTGCTATCAGCACCTTGAAGAATTCCAGATCTCTGCTTAGCAAAAGAAAACCAAAATCAAAATACCCTGGGTGCTCAGCCTGCCATACAAAGCTAACAAGGGACGGAAAGCTGTATTTTCAGGGGATGTTAACAAAAGCACACATACATCTTTTCTCATGGCAAGAAATTAAATTAGACAACGTACTCTTTTTCCCATTTGCATTATGATGATACTACAGTGCAGTTTCAATTTTAGTTTTTAAAAAGAACTTTTGCAAAAAAAAAAATGCATGTGCCTACATTTATACACATCTATATTCACGTACAATTGTCAAAGTCTTAAAGGCTGGGGTTTATATCTTTGCCCTTCCCCTCCCCCCAACAACCCTAATAGAAAGGTTTTTCATTTTGCTTAAAAAAACCAAAACAACCAAAAAGACTCTATAGCTCTAGCAGTCACGCTGGTGTTTCAGTGAACGAGAGGACAGTTTGGCAAATCAGGCTGCGGTTCAGCCGCGCGGGGGAGGGGATTAGCTGCCTTGGGCTGGGTTTGCTGGTCCTGAAGGTTACAGTTTTGGTCAAAGAGAAGCCTGTCTAGCATGCTGACTCTATCTTAAGCTTTGAAACTAACTTCTAACCCTGGTGTCTGTTTATCACAAATGCATTAAAAATATAGTGATCTATCAAGTCCCATATTTATATGCAACCAAATTAAAAAGGACCAGACAAACAGTGCAAAGGTCAAATAATTATGGTTTTATATTGGGACAGTACATTATATATTTCAACCAAAAGACAAAAATGCAATTTAACTCAAAGGCACAACAATTGAAACAGAAAATAACGGCATCTCTCAGATGCCTTGTTTCTAAACTAAACAAGTACAGGTGTGTTCCCTTCCCTCCCCCAATGCAAGCCCACAAGCTTTTCCCAAAGTTTTGAGTTTTCAATGCCATAAGGCATCCAGCATCGTGGACTTGTGAGGCGCTTGGATGTAGCAGTTAAACAAAACGTTTGCGAGGTCTAGCACATGGCATTCGTAAGGGACCTCAAAGTGCAGATTTATCTTCTTCGAACGTTACAGGCTGAGCTGGCTCTTTGAACACTATCATTCTGCTTAAATTCAGGAAGCAGGTTTTAAAAATGCAAAAGGCATACAAGTTGTATTTCAGTGCAAATCTTCAGCTGGTAATTGGAAAAGATTCCAACAATTAAAAAAAAAATCCTTTGTGTCACCCCCCCCCCAAGCCAAAATGAAGGAAAAACAGAACAAAATCAAAACAGAATTATTACAGATGACTTTGGAATTTTTAGGCGTCTACAATTTCCAATTAAAAAATTTTTTTAACATACATTAAAGAATCACTTAAAAAAAAAACCCACAAAAGTGATCTTGCTTTGTTTAGATTGCTCTTCATGTAGAGAATGAGCTCCCACATAGAGTGCATCTGAACTTGACTTGTGTGAGTGGAGCCTGCATAAGCTGCCAGGCTGTGGTGTGCGAATGACCGAGTGACCACAGGCAGGGGGGCAGCGCAGGGCGGCCGCCCGCTGCTGAGTCAGCCATTGAGCCCTTAGGTCGCAGTGCATCTGTGGATTTTAGGAATGTTCCATCGCTTTGTGACACACATTCTGCTTCAGCGTCACAGATTTTTAGAAATGGTTCAAACTTGATGAAAAAGACTCACGAGAGGCTGAAAACATCAAGACCTCAAAAATATGAATGCAAAAATATTAAGGGGGATGAACCAATTTTGTAGATACCTACATACAAAGTTTCTAGAACATCTATAAAAGCACAAAGTCATAAGAATTTATTTTCCATTACATTAGTTTATATAAAATGAATAAATAGTATTTATAGATTTAATGTGTCTTATGTACATACACATGTGCTCTGTTTTAGCTTAAATAAAAATGCTACAAAGTGGGAGACCACTTTAGGGAAAAATCATAACCAAAAAGAAAAAAAAAAAATCAGCCTTTTAAACTGTCAACCCAAAAGCCTCCATAAAGAAGTTTCCAGGTGTATCCAAAAAGAATTCATCAGGAGAGGGACGCCAGTGAGCCATCAGCCCCCTCCTGACCCCACAACACGGAGTGGCAATGCAGACTTTGCTTTCACTGATGACGGCCACTAGCTCAGCTAGCGCCTAAGCTCAGTTATTGCTCAAAGTTACATAGGAAAATACACTGGAATTGGACCAAATGTCACTTATTTGGGGAAAAAAAAAAAAAGGAGGCATAATCACTTTTGCTAAGTGGGAAATGGAGATCTCATTTATCTCTGAGGTAGGAAAAAAAAATGTTCCAGAGACAAGTAGCATTAACAAACCCAGAGCGGGGACTGCGCCTCAAGACAGCAGCACACAGCAAGGTCCCAGGGACAGCGCACACACAGATTGTACCATTTTGTCTGCAAGAACAAACAATGCTGGAGCTTTCCTAAGCTGTGCGACCCCAGGGCCACGCTGCCAAGGTGTCCGTGTCAAAGTGAGAATACTGCTCCCCTCCACAGGTGGGGCGGCGGCAGGACTACAGGGTGGCGGAGGGGTGCTGGCCGGAGGTATTCCTGACTTCCTCCCTGGGTGAGGTCCGCGGTTAAGTGCTCTTAAATTCTGCTTTCAAAGCTTACTTTGGAGTCTGAGACCAGGATCTCAACTTTGAAAAGTTTGTTTCCTTCAGTTTCCTAAGCACGAGACACACTTCAACATTTCTCCTAGGCAAGTAACACAGTAAGCCAGAAAACGTTAACTAGGTGGAGGACAGCAAAGGAGGGGGAAGTTGCTGAGATGTGACAATTGCTTATTCGGTCTACGAATTCTTGGGTGCTTTGAACTGATTGGAATGTACGGTCTCTCAGAGTCGAATTTGTATGGAGAGAGAGAACCTAGTGGATGCAATCAGAAACCCACAATCTTACGTACTTCCTTGAAAACGTTTACAAAGCTGATTTGGTAAGGTGATACACTGAAGTGGACGTGCAGGGGCGTTGTGGGCAGGTCCCATACACTACCTAACAGGATCCGACGCGGACAGCCATCGGGGAGGCAGCGGTGAGCGCGCTCTTATAGCCCGAGACACGACTTGCGACTGTCCTGCAGCTTTATTCTCTTGATGCCGGAGCTGGAGTAGCCCTCGTCACTGCCCAGGCTCTGCATGCTGCCCCGCTCATCAGAATCACTCACGCTGCTGCTGCTCCAGTCCAGATCCCCCGTGAGATAGTCTGTGCTTTCCACATCCACATCGATTTCTTCTGCAGGAGTGGGCAAGAGAGAAGCATTGGTAAAGGCATCCCGCAGGACACTGGGCTGCAGACCCAACTGGCCCCAGTCAGTTCTCCTTTGGACACCGCTCCCTAACCGCCAACAGGAAAAAGGGACTGATTACCGGCAGTCACACTATTCTACTTCCCTAGGACGATCTTATTTCCTTTTATGCCTGCTCTGCCTCCTGTGAGCAACCTGTCCTCGGGGCCCAGCGGGAGGGGGAAGGAAAGAGGGAGGAGGGCGGCTCACCCCTGTCGGAGTCCGAGCGCTCCGAGGACACCGTGGAGCCGATGCTGTCCATCCGTATCCGCTCAATGCCCAGCTTCTCCAGCTGCCTCTTCAGGTGTCGCTGCTCGCGTTGAAGCTGATCTATTTGGTGAATGGCTTTCCTGTCACAGTCTTCAAGTTTCTGCAAGTCAAAGGGGCAGCTGTTGGAGCCCACGGGCAGGTCTCCACCTTGCTCCAGCCCTGTGCCTTCCCCTCCAGCAGTGAAATGTGCCAAGTGTTCCCAGAGCCATTTGGTGTGTCGTTCATAAGCTTCTGAGACAGAAAGTCGGGTGGCCAGGGACCGTGGGCTTCCTATACGTCTTCAGCATGCACAAGCTGCGGTCAGCGCTCTTCACTGGGGTGAGCTCTGACATGGGCATTCCATGCCCATTAACTGTGGCACAGAAGACTGCAGGCAGGGACCCCTCCCACCCAGTCGCCTGGTCTCAGCGACTCTTACAAAATGGCATGGCATGGGAGCTGCAGAAACACATTTCTATTTAAAATTATGTTTATTCAAGTACATGCCCCAGTTACATGAGTACTTTTTGTGTCATGCCAATTCTCAATTAAATTCTGTTTGTTAGCAGGAAATAACAGTCCCTTTTGAAGTCTTGATTCCAAATTGTCCAACAGAAGAGCTATAAAATGCATTTCCAAAGACAACTCATTTTTACAAATCTGCCCCCTAGCTTCTCAGATTCTTCAGATAATTAAGAAAAGAGTTTAATTGTAGCTGTTTTGCTTTAAATAGAAGTTGTTTTTCCTCCTAAAATTGTCATGTATGGCAGGATACTAGCCATAATTAAAGTGGATTTGTCCAACAAAGACGTGGCTGTAAAAACACGCTCCCTAGTGATTTGGGCTGGGGCTCTCTGGAGTTGTACGACACTCACCTTACTATACTTTGGGATTCAGTCTGGGGACTGAGGGTAACCCTGGGCCAGACACTGTGAGGTCCTGGGGACACAAGTGGAGCACAAAGACCCACTTTCCTTTGTGGGGTCTGATGATGGAGATGCCGCAAAGTCACACAACCCACTGCTAAATGTGTTCTGTGACGGGGTGGGGGCAGTGCCGGGACCACTTGTCACAGGAAACGACTGAGTCAGGCAGACCACTGTAGGCCTCCCTGAGCTGGCTGAGATTGGAAGGACAAGCAGAAGCTAACTAGGCAGGGAAGAGAGGGGAAAGCTCACTACAGAGTGAGCAGCAGGCACAATGTCCCCACGGGAGAAGAACAGGACGAGAGCCAGGGGCTGAAGGAGGACTGAGGGGACAGTATGTGCAGAGGCTGCCACAGGAAGAGGGAAAGGTCAGGTCAGGTCAGGTCAGGTCGGCAGAGCCCGTAGTGGGCCCAGTGACAGTTTATCAGGAGCCACAGAAGAATTTTTAATAGACTAATGCATTGATCTGAGCTTTGGCACGACTGTTCTTAGGAAATATGGTGAGACGATCTCTGCATTGTCAGAGGGACGGAGGGAGGATGGGGCTGGAGGAAGCCTCTGAAGGGTTTGTTGCAGTTGACAGTCTTGTGGTAAAGAGAGAAGTAGAGACAGTTGCAAAACAGTTAGGTCTTGGAGATGACTTAGCTCTACATAGCTAAGAAACCAGAGATGCTTTGGGTCCCTGAGTTGCTGGCTTGTGTGACTTCACGGAAAGCTGGATGGACCATTTACCCTCAGCGCCCAGGGCTGAGAAACACTCCGTGGGGTGTGGGACATGTTGCATCTGAGGTGCCTGTGATTCCAAGCAGGCGCAGAGTGCAGGGGAGGGACAGAACCGCCCTAGGGAAGACCTCTGCTCGCGCCTCTAGCAGACAAGCCCCTCCCAGGCAGGGAAGATGGAGAGCATCCCATGAGCGCTTACCTTTATGTGCAATTTGGCTTTTGTTAATAAACTCAACGTAGTATGTCGGCTGGATTCAGGCCCAAGTGGCACCAACCCCTTCAACTTCTCCAGGCACAAACGAAGATGAGCCCGCCTACCAAAACAAGATCATGGCAGCATGTGAGAATTTCACCGAGGGCTAGAACAACCCCAAGAAAGAGGAACCCTAAAAGTGTAAAAAGTTGCCCATTCCCTACCAATGACCTCCTGCCACATAAACACAGTGTAAAGACAGATGGTGCTGGGGAAAACCAGTGAGCAGTAAAACCCAGTTTCTAAATTAAGTCTATTTGTAAAACAAGCATTGGCTTTGTATTAATATATTTATCAGGTTTTTTTCTCTGTTTCTGAGTTACATTGTAAACGACACAACATCCAAATCAGAAAATAATGACATGCAAGGCGAGACTCCTTCTAACCCGTACTTCTCTTTGCAAAAGACCCCATCTAAAACCACTACCTCCTTACATCACTGCTGTCTACAGTGCTTACAAATGTGAAAGACATATGTGCAGCTAGCCACTGAGGTTTTCTTGCAACAGTAAAAGCAGAAACAATCCAAAGGATTACCATAAGGAACTGGCTAAATACACGATGTACCTCCACAGAGTGGAATACGAGGTGGCATAAAACAGGGTGAGAAGTGCTCTCTGTACTGCTGGGAAAGATTCCTGAGAAATACTGTTACATGAAGAAAAGCAAGCTATCAAACCATGATTACAATGTGCTACCTTTGAGTAAAAATGGAAGCAGAATGAGCATCTCTCTCTATTTTTTTGGTATGAACACACACAAACTGGATTGATTCATAAGAAACTAGTGACAGCGGTTGGGAGGAGAGAAGACAGAGAATGATTAGACAGGGAAGAAAGGAAGAGCTTTCGGTTTTCCAACCATGTAAGCCTACTGCTATTCAAAAGTTAAATTTTTTAACTAAGTGAACGGTACATCATTGCACTGCTACACTAAGAAACTAAGAAGCATTCTGAAACAGCTGGGGACAGCTATTTTGTGGTGAGGCAGTGTGGCCACATAGTATAATAGGATGGGGTGGGACGGACACAAAGGCTGGATGAGGAGGAGGCCAGAGCCTCCCTCTCAAGAGTCTTTCCTCACAGGATGACCAGAAACGCAAGAGTGCCCATAGTTCTGGCATTTATATTTCATTGAAACACTGGTGTAGGCTTTATTCTAGGATCTAGCAGGCTCTGTGAATGTAAGAAACACCAAATATTCAGTTGTTTAACCCCACCACCTCTCTAACACCTTCTCAAGCCATTCCAAGACCACAGCAATTTCTCCACTTTCTTCTGGTTCACTTCTGCTGTTCCCTGGGAAGCTCCTGCCTGGTGTCTGTCACCGAACCACTCAGCACAAAGTCCTTCACAAGTTGGGGCAGCAGCTTAATCCCTGCTGGGGACCCACAGAGCCCCCTGAGCACACGCGCTTCACCAGTGTCTCCTGATGGGCAGTGTCAGCTGCTCATCTAGGCCCAGGGAGCAGAGTTCTTCTCACTACATCCTTGCACCTCAGTCTTGGGACTTTACATAAATGTCCATTTCCACGCACAGCTCCCCAGGGCAGGCAGAGCTTCCGTGGATGCTATCCTCCAGCTGCCCGGGGAAAAGCACAGTGCCTACTGGGCTGCTCATTTTTTTCTCTGAAGAATGTTACTACGTGAGCAAAAGTTGGCAATGCAGATCAAAAGAAGAAAACCTCATCAGAAAATGGTAGAACAAGCAAACAGGGACGACGCTGGCCTAGGAAGTCGCTTCACACTGTCCACCAAGACTTGGGGTGTTAGATCCAATAAGTACTGGTTACTCATCCTTCTAGAGCGTCTGCCCACTCCAGACCATGAAGAAATTGTCCTCTAAGGATCCTTGAAGGGTTTCTAAGCTTTGACAAGTTTAAGAAGTATAGTGTTAGGGGCTGGGGATTTAGCTCAGCGGCATAAGCACCTGCCTTGCAAGCAGGCGGTTGTGAGTTCGATCCCTGGTACCGATAAAAAGTTAAAACAAAACAAAACAAAAGTATAGTGGTCATTTCTGAGCTAGAAAGACATGAAGGTGCAAATGTTTTACAGCTCTGTAAGACTCCCACCTGGTCCAAACACCTGTCCACAGGAAAGAGCCACAAGCAAAGAGTCACGTGGACAGGTTGCTCCTCTCACTACTGCCTGAGGTAAAAGACACACAGAAGAGGAAAGCTGTGTGTAAAATGTCACTTTGATACTGTCTGCAAAATGAGCCATGAAAACAGATCATGACATTGCAAAGACAATGAAAAAGTGTAACTAGTCGCTTAGACAGTAAAGTAAGTGGCTTATTCTCCCCAACTAAGGCTTGTAGACTAATTTTCAAAGGAGAAACTGTTTACAAGTTAAAATTATATTTAGACATTTTGAGCTTCCTTTGTATATGGCTCAGAACGGTATCTTATAAGTCCTTTTGTGATACGGGTTTGTACACAGATATAAGTATATACATGTTTAGGAAGTTTGTCTACTGATAAAAATATTTAAAAGTCATCTTTTGATGCACTGTCATTTCTAGATACAGAGTCTTGCTCAGAAAGCACTGTTTCACTACCCCAAAGTGAGTTTCCAAATAATAATACTTCCAGTGTGAAATTAGGATTAAAACTTTTGAGGACTTCAAAGTGAGAATAATACCTATTCATTCAGTGTTTCCTGGCCTAGTTCTACAAAACTAAGACCAGAGTCTTTCTGAATTTTCAGAGATCCAAAGTGGACTTCTGTCTCTGTCAGTGTCCGCCTTGGGCCTCTCCGGGCCTTACTCAGGGCCCTGGTCTGACTGCTCTCCCGCCCTCAAGCCACCACCTACAAACACCCTGTGCGGGGCCTGGGCCAGCCACAGGGAAGAATGAAGAAGATTAAGCAGGCTTAGTGCCACCACAGTGTAGTGAAACTCAACCCCTGAATGGACGTAGAAGCAAACAGCTGCCTCTGTAACAACTTCCCTGAGAATGCTCAACCCTGTCTCTGTCGGTCTCTCTGCCCTGCAATCTGGGCCCCTTCAGTCAGTCCTGAACACCCCCGAGCCATCCGAGGGTCAGAACAAGCAGGCACTGACTTTGGCACGCCTCATGGCTCCCTTCTCAGCCCTGTTCCATTCTGACCCAGGCCTGACACCTCTTGCGGAAGTCGCAGGCTTTTGCCACACATCCTCAACAGGAGGCCACTCTGTGTCTCACTGTGACCACGCCGCCCATCGCACCTTCCTGGGACAGTCCCCCTCCCGGGCAAGAGCGGCTCCCAGCTTCCGGCCCAGCAGGAAGGGCTGTGCCCAGCGCTGCTCAGTCAGTGGGGATCTGTACTGCTCTGTACCTAGGTGATGAACTTTGACAAACTTCACCCACTGGTTCTTCAGAAAGATAGCTTTAATTATTATGTATATGGCTGACATATCTAAAGTCTGTACCAGAGAAAGAAAACTAACCTTCCACCTGAACTGTAATCAGCAGTGCTTCTAGGTGTGGCCTGAAACTAATGATAATTCATTTAGACTCAAACTATATATTGTGTTCAGTAAGTTTTGCCAAGGATCTCACATTTTACTTATTTTATTATTATTTTAAATATTCTAAATCTACCAGTCACTATATAACCCCATACAAGCATAATGACGAGGAGAAAGGCGTGGGATCCTGGCTCTGCCGCAGACTCCTCTGTGACCCTGAGCAAGTTGCTCTGCCATGTGTCACATTCCTGAGTGAGGAAGACACCTGCCTGCGAGGCCACCGTGCCACCGTGTATACGGGCGGAGACAAGGTGCAGAAGCCCTTGGGCCTCCGCAGATAGCTGTAGTTATTTGTTCAACCTGGCTTCCTCTGCAGAAGGGTAATCACTGTGATCAAACTCAGACAATTACAAGACTGCAATATTCCCTTAATAATCAACAGGGAACACCACGGAAGTGTTGCTAGGCAGAGAGACACCATCCGCTCGAATCTAACTCATTGAACTGTTCTTAACGAAAACCAGTATCTTTTGCCATTAATATATTTAATGAAATCTAGAATCCTTGTTCTATGGAAGTATAGATACTGTTTATGCTAAAGGTATTGTTTTTTTTCTTTAATGGAAAACCATCAGCAAAAAATTTACCAGGCTAATGAATGCCATGGCAGATTGCTCTGTAGCTCCCACACTGTGCAGAAGCAGCAGTTGAAAGAACTTCAAGGGGCCGGGGATCCAGGTCAGCAGCGAAAGTGCTGCCTGGCAAATGCAAGGTCGTGAGTTCAATCCCCGGTACAAAAGAAAAAGAAAGGAAGAATTTCAAGGTCAGGAAGGCAGCGCAGGCCTCCTTCCACACATCCAGGAGCAACGGTTCTGAGGGCCTGGACCTCCTACGCCTCCACTGCAGTGGCCACAGGGCACTAAAGAGAGAAGCACATTGTGGGGGGGCACATCCAGAGAACTTAGAACCTCACACAGGGGAAGAAAGTAGAGCATGTTTAGTAGCAACCTTAAAACAGCCTGGGAAGGCTTTGTGGGAAGAAAGCTATAAAACGCTGCTGACGGACACAAGAGAAGCTGAGCAAATGGAAAGTGGCACTTCCCTGGACATGAACCCTCAAAATAAAAATGCCAACGTTCCCCGAGTTAGTCCACAAATTTAACATAATTCCAAGAAAGCAAATCCCAACAGTCCTCTTTCTAATGCTGGGAAATTAGTCTAAACTTCATCGAGAGGAATAAACACGTAAGACACCACCAGAACTTCTGGAAAAGGGGATGCAGAGCACTGGGCTGCACCAGACATCCAACTGCATTACAGCTTCAAGAATAAAAACAGCAGGACCCTAATAGACATGAATCAAATGAAAGGAACAAAATTCTCAGAAACAGACCTAACAACTGGTAAGAATTTAACACGCAATTGAGATAACACTGTAAATCCCTATCGCGGGAAATTATTATTCAGAAAATGGCAAAGGACTATGGAGGTCAATATCCAGGTAATTCCAAAACAAATAGATTAAAGATGTAAATGTACACTATATTCACACGCCACATGGTTCTGTCATTTTCCTCAACTCTTGTTAGCCCGTGATGACAGAAAACTCAAT